AGAGGTGCTGTAGAATCCCACAGAGCTGCTCTGCTCAGGCCTTCAGGACTCCATCAGGACCTGCTGACTGGTTACCATCCAGTCTCTCCAGTTGCCTCTTTACTGACTTCTAGAGACAGACAGGTGGAAGGTGGAGGGAGCAGCACCACCTGCTGGTCTGGCTGATAATAGAAACAGGAAGTGATGTCAGAGGAGGGCAGGATGTCCATGTGACTGTGGGCAGGAGAGGAAGATGCTGAACTTGTTCCTGAACTGAACCAGTTGAAGAATGGATTCAGTTCTTTGGTTCTGTCCAGACCTCCATCTGTCTGATCATCCTTGTGCTGGAAGCCTGGGATCTTCATCTCTGATATTGTCCTGCTGGAGCTTGTTTTCTAGCCTTTTCCTCTCTGCCTCCTTGCTTCCTCTGATCTATAAAATTTTATGCCAAAAAATGGCCCAGTATTCCCACAAGAGATGGGATGGACGATGAGATGGAGTGGAGGGTTGGAACCAGCAGCTCTTCAGTTGCAGGATGAATGTGTGCGTCCTAATCCTATACCACTGTCAGATTCACAGCTGAGTAAAGTAATTGAGGATCATCTCCTGGGAAAAGACTCACCATTTGCCAGGTTCTCGAACCTCTGTGCGAGTTTTTTCATGGCAAGCTTGCTCTCTGTTTCATTCTCCAGCTTGGAAAGCTCCCTCAATATCTTACAGGCACCAAGAGCGCTCAGCACAGATTCTCCTGACTGACAAAGAGACACAGATAATCTTCATTAAGTAGAAATAAATTAATGTCAGTTGATAAAAAAGTAGCAGTAGGTTCTGCCACTATGACCATCACCTTCAAATGGTCAATGTTAAACTTAACAAATCAGCATTAGACTACAAACTTTAAGGTAACATCGTCCGCTCGAAGCTCACCATCTCCCAGAAGTATATGGCCATTTCAGAGCGGTTCTGTAAAACAGCCCAAATGAAGAGAGCTTCCCAGGGTGAGGGGCAGGCCTGCTTCCGGTAGGTACACTCCCCCTGCAGGATCCTGTTGACTTGCTTAGGTTTGAAAAGACAAACAGGGTTAGCAAATGTTTCCTGAATTAAGAGTTTGTTTAGCCTCAAAGTTCTACACAGGATGGAGGAAGTGGAGGGAGGTATGGTTAGACAGATGAAGGATGATAGATGCTCACTGACCTTTAGTGATTTTCTAGTGCCAGTTCTAGGGTCCAGTTCCAAAGCACTGTAGTAGAACGGCTCACAGACATCACCTAGAAGGTCCTGCAGCAGACGGGAGACCTGCAGCACAGTCACACTCTGCTTAATCTACATCTATCAATACAGAAAGGTTGTACAGCTCAGCTCTCACTGCATTAAAAGCAGGATTATCGGTAGTACTTGGCCTGTAAAACTGCAGCAGAATTTAAGGTTAATGGCTTTACATAAGAAGTTTAGGTTTTCTACTTAAACCTCCAAAAACTGAGAGACTGGGAAAGGATTCCCAGTGTTATCCCATGACCCCCTACTGCTAGCACTATGGCGCTTGTATACGGTACAAACGAACAACCTAGTAGTTGCCACTATATTTTGTATACAGCAAAATCATCTGTTGTGTTTTAAGAGTGTGGTGTGCTAGCTAGCCATTAAATTGTGCTTTGTAGCTGTGTCTGAAGGTTTTATTTTTTATAATCAGTCAATGCGGTTCTATGGGAAAAAAATATAAAAAAATCTGCACAGATTGGGATCTACTAACCCTGCGTAACAGAACACTCTGTTTACTTACTGCAGTCATTATTGCATGGAAAAAATCCCCACAGAAAATAAAAAGTCAGACCCAACCACCCAGGTCTGACAGATATGGAGGAGCGAGGCTATTGATGGCTTCGAAAGTATAAAGAAGAACTTTACAGTTTTCCTGTAACTGCCTGTTATTATATTTCATGAGGAACTTTTATATATCCAAGCTGACTGGTAGAAAAGCTTCGTTTAACTAGCTTTCCTAAAATATAAACTAAAGGTCACTGGTCAGTTGTAAAAACCTCCTGAGATGAACCCTTGTTGATCCTGGAGAACCACTGAACCAGATTACTTCCTTATAAGCAGTTTTCCACCCTTCTGGTTCATTTGATCTGAGTCTCTTTCCTCCTGCAGCTGCAGCCAATGGTCTGACTGTTGGTTGATTAGTTTGGTTCATGTTACATTTCCGCTCCTCATCTTTAGTAAATCAAACACATCAAAGCCCTGGTTTTTTTATTAACCTGGGAACGAACCAAACTTTTATCACAAGCATCAGCCTAATTGAGATAGATTATTCAATTCTTCTGTTTTCGCATTGGACTGCTCTGTTCCTCATTTTATGTTCACAGCAGTGGCATCTGACGGCTGTTTCTGTGTGCAACTCACCTCAAACAGGCTAAGACCTGATGCTGAGACAGCAGGAGTGTGAGAAGTATTGGTGTTCATCCAGACATCTGGTGCAGCTCCATCCACAGAGGGCAGGGATCCAGCCAGGCTCTGCCTTTCACTCAAAATCCTCTTGAGCAGATTGTAAACCAGCAAGCTGTCTGACAGTGAGCGATATAAACTCTCCAAGCGCTCATGTGTCAAATATTCCAGGATGTTGAGACCATTTTCACAAAAGAGACGCACAAACTGGGGCTTATCATTGATCAGAGCGTCCGTCATCGAGTCCTTGAGCTCGCCGTACTGAAAGGGAAAAAGCCTCATTAGTCTTTGCATCATGCAAACAGTTCAATGCTTTCTAAAACAGAATATGATGAAAAGAACAATCATCTTGGTGATTAAAATGCTTGAAAAGCTGAGTTTATTTTCTCATTTCGGCTGCCATTGGTACGGTTTCACCCTAGAATGAATTCAGTATTGAAGACATGAGACAAACCTCAGATTCTTTTTTCTAAACTCATCACTTGACAAGAATTCTGTTGTTTGTTAGTTTTTTGTGCTCCTGGCTGTTTGACACTTTATACTCTGCTCCACTCTGCTAATTTGGATAAATAGATGCCACCATCCATATAGTTAAGGGGAGTGGCGGCCTAGAGGTTAGGGCATACAGCTTGGGTCCCTGAGCAAGACCCTTAACGCTAGTTTATGCTCAAAAACCAAGTCGTCAGCGTGCGTGTCGCAGTGAAAGCAGATATGCCCCGCCCCCTTCGCAGACACTGCATCTCTCCCAAATTGTAGGTCACCGCAGACAGCTGGCCTCTGATTGGTCAGTTCTCCATCCGCTCTACACTATGCGTATTTCCTGTTTGGTTCCTGGATCCCCGCTCTTTTTGGCCCTCATGTGCCTCCGTTGTTGGACAAACTTACCCCCACTTCCTCACCGCCTCGGCCGTATCTAGACCCACAGCTAGTTCCTGATTGGTCCTCTGGCGTTGTGGCGTGAAATACAGGTCTTTCTCAAACTATTAGCATACTGCAATGTAGTTCATTATTTTCCGTGATGTAATGATAAAACTTGAACATTCGTTTATTTTAGATTCATTGCACACTAACTGAAACATTGCAGGTCTTTTATTAATATGGAGGATTTTAGCATTCAGCTCATGAAAACCCCAAATTCCTATCTAAAAAAATTG